AGAACATCGTGGAAAGATGACCATTCGAGTTGTCTGGAAGAAAGACGTCGAAACTGGCGGTTGTACGCGATCAAAGAAGAGCTGTCGAAGTTCCGCTACATGAAAGGAAGGTTCGACGAAGAACAATGATCAGTTGGTCAGCATAAAAAAATTAACCGTAAACGTGCACCACTTACCGCAGTCTTTGTACTGTAGGTCACTCAGGTAGCGTCTGGTCCGGTAGCCCTGAACATCGCTGAGGCACAGAGAACCGCACAAGAAGGCGAGCAGTACAGACAGGAGGAGCGTCCTGCTGACAGTAATGCAGGCAGGAAACATGATCGCTGGCTCAACAACGGAGGTGACAAGCGATAGAAGGCAGATTCGGTACGGACGTGAACTCGATTTGTAGGAGTGACGGAGGAACGAAAACCTCTCTCGCGCGGCACAGTTAACAGTCAAAGGCGTTAAACACAGAGCCGAAGGAAACGAACCTCTGTCATTGGGTAAAGGATGGTTACAAGGAGGAGCGAATACTCTGCGGCAGGCAAACAAGTGTGAAAAAGAAAACCTAGACCTGGGAGGCAAGGCTCGAAAGCTGCTGGCAGCGTGATGGCGGTTGGCTATAAATAGCCTGTCGACGCTTGACCGGACCACCCACAGGCAAGGCGGACGTAACCGTTCGTCGGTGTTGATCGTCCGTTTCATCAATCTTGACCAATCATCATCGTCGTTGATGTTCTTGTGAGGCGGCCGCCGTGAGGCCTAAAGTGCAGGACGGCGGCCATCGTCCCTCTCCATCACTCTGTCGTCAGGGTCGTGGACGAGCACCACGAGGGAATGCTATAGCCTCTCGCTGGGTCGGGCCGAAATACAGAAACAAACAGAGGAAGGGAGAGCCGACAGCCGCCTCGCCGCCATATTAACCTCACAAAAAGTGGCAGTTGTAAACAAACTCATTTCCCGCTCGGCCTAAAATCATTGTGCCCTCTTGTGTGGCCCGGCTGCGACGCTGCCTGAGTGAACATCGAGCGAAACACATCGACGGTAGTTGTCCGTTGTTAGTTTGTTTTAAAGCCGTGTTATTAGCGGAGATTGCGAACTTTTTTCAGCGAAAACAGTGTGTTTCCCACCACCTTCATTGAGGTGCTCTTGAAGTTCAGACTCACTGCAGCTAGGGTCATAAAAGTTGGTCTCGAAGGAGTTGTTTCAACTGCAGTCCCTCAGATTTGCACATGGCGACTGAAGGCAGTTGAATTTTTCCTGCGGTCAC